CTGCCCCTCTGCCCCGCTCAAGTGAGACCCCACCTGCAGAGCTGCTCCCACGGCAGGGGTGGCACTGGATGGGCTTTAATGTCCCTTCCCACTCCAGGAGTCCAGGGTTTGATCCCATCAGACTTCCACCACCCAGAGCTGGATCCACTCCCCCACCCCACGGCACAGCCGCGACCACCCAACCCCTCTGCAGAGCCAGGAGCATCCCAGCGGCAGGAATGGGTGACGTCACACCCCGCTTTAGTCCTGTTTAGGGTTTTTTTTTTTTTTCTCAATACCTGACATTTCCTGGAAACTCCGTGAGCCAAAGCTCAGCTGAGTGGGAAACAAACGCTCCTGGGAGCGCGGCTGCCCTGGGCAGGTCCCGGCCGGCCGGCCCAGCCCCGCGGGACATTCCTGCGCTCTGACGCCTGCTTGGGGCTCAGTTTCAGCTTCTCCGTGTTTCACCCAGAAATCAGAAAGAGCCTCATTTGGGAGAAAGCAGGGAAGAGATGTGCACGGCTCTAGGAGGGGCAGAAAGCAAGGAAAAGAGGAGGTGGGAGTGGGAATGGGACACGAGAAGGGAGGAGTGGGGGGGGGAGAAGGAATAAGTGAAGGTAAGAGAAGGAATAACAAAGTGAGAGAAGGAGCAGGGACGAAAGGAGCCTGGGAAGGTGGCAGAGGTCCCCCAGCCACCCCCCAAACCAGGGTACACAAATACCCCCAGCCTGGCATCCAGTTCTTCCCTTCCCAGCCCCCACAGCCCGATCCCAGCACGGGGCAGGGGAGAAGGGGAGGAAGGGCTGCAGTGTCCCCTCCGCGCCCACCTCCTGTCCTTACAGCATCCCTGCAGTGTCTCCCACCCCTGTGGCTGCTGTGTTCCCCCTCTGTGCCCACCTGGGGCTGGGCACTGTCCTTCGAGGGCCATGGACCTCCCTCAGCCCCTCTGTCCCACCCTGGCACGGCCTGGACTTGTCCCCAGCCTGGCCCCTTCCCTTCCCAGAGGGAACACAGCAGAGGGAACAGAGCAGAGCTGAAGGAAGGGGCTCTCAAAGCCCCCAACCCAAACCGGGCAGTGCCCAGTCCCAAACTGGAACCTCCAAGCCCAGCCCCTGGCAGAGCAGGAAACACCTGCCCCGCCCAGCCAAACTGAATAAAACAAACCAAACCACACATTTCACAAAATAAACCATCTCCTTCTTCTGTTTCTTTAAACCTGAGCTGACCTCAGCTTTAGGGGAGGCTCCAGCAGCAGAACCAGGAGCTGCTCTGCCCTGTCCTGATGTGACCACAGCACTGGCCATTCCCTGTCCCACTGCGGCCACAGCACTGGCCATTCCCTGTCCTGTTGTGGCCACAGCACTGGCCATTCCCTGTCCCACTGCGGCCACAGCACTGGCCATTCCCTGTCCCATGTGTTACCACAGCACTGGCCATTCCCTGTCCCATCCACAGCCACAGCACTGGCCATTCCCTGTCCCAGTGTAGCCACAGCACTGGCCATTCCCTGTCCCATGTGTTACCACAGCACTGGCCATTCCCAGCTGAGCGTGACCAGCCCAACACAGCTCCTATTCCAGGGGCAGTTCCCATTCCAGGGGCAGCTCCCTTACCTGGCTCCTGCTCATCCTCTCATTCCCTCCAGAGCTCCTTCAGTCCTGCTCTCCCTCCTCACTCAGATCCTTGGGGTTGATTCCACTTTATTTCTCATTAATAAACACCAATTATTTGGGGAGCCTTGATAAAGAAATGATTCCATTCTGCCTGAACATTTTGAGCCAATAACCCTGGGAGTTCCAGGTGCTGGCAATGACCCCCAGCAGTGTCCAGGGAAGGGTTACAGATTTGTCCAAGGTTTGTCCAAGGGGGTTGAAGCACCTTCAAGGCTCCCTGTGATGGTTTCAATCTCCCTGTGCCCAGCCCCGAGCCTCAGCCCCCCAAAAAAACACATGGTGATGGATCCAGAGGGGGAGATCCTGGGCTCACTCCACATCCAGCCACAGCAGGATTCACCAGGCCAGGCTGTGAGTGCACAGGGAGGTGTGCACACCAATGGCACAGGGGGCACACAGCTGAACGCTGGGTGGGACCAGACCCTTCATCCCCTTCTCCACCTCCTCCCCACCTTCCTTTGTCCCTGTCCCTTTCCAGCAGGATTTCTGTGCAGCCAGGAAGGCTGAAAAGCCCTGGTTTGGGGAGCAGCCCATCCCAACTGAACCAAATACCTGGCCAAGGAGGAGCACCGAGAACATCAGGAAGGGCAGGACCTGCCTGAGTCAGCTCGGCCTCTCCCGGGGCAGGGAGGGCGCAGGGGCAGGAATGAGGGGCAGATGCTGAGCTGGGGACAGGTCCTGCCTTCTTCATGAGGGAGGAGCCACAGGATCCTTCCCTACAAACACCAAAAATGCCCAGGAGCAGCACCACGGGCACTGACACCAGGGTCCCTCGGAGTGCCCCCCCTCCCCAGGACTCCCCTGGGCCCTCTGCTCCCAACAGGAGCTTCAGCCTTGCAAGGAGAGGCTGAATCCTCTTCCAACACATCCCATGTCACCTGCAAGTCAAACCCATCCTGCTGGAAGGACACAGCACTTGGAAAACCCTCATCCATCTCAGAGCAGAGTGGTTCCAGTGATCCCAGTGAAAAATAGGGTTCCATGCTGCTTGTCCCAAGAATTAAAAGGCAGTGTTCATCCTGAACCATCATCCTTCTGCACCTCTCTGTGGCAGAGGGAGTTTGGGCCCATCTCCAGCATCCAGTCATGGAATTGTGGGATGGTTTGGGTGGGAAGGGAGCTCAAAGCTCATCCCATTCCACCTCCTTCCTAGTTCATGGTGCTCCAAGACCTATCCTTGGACACTTCCAGGGATGGGGAGGATGTGGGACACAATGCTGTGCAGGAACTGGGAATCAAAAGGCATCAAGATCCATTTTGGAGAGGCTTCCTGGGCCACTGTGCTCTGGGAGATGCTCTTGGAGTCAAACTTGTTGTTCCCATGGGCTGGACCTAGTTTGGAAACTTCATTTCATGGACGAAAAAGGATGAGGGAAAGAATTGATCCTTGGAGGAGAAAGGAGCAGGGATTGGTGCTCAGACAGGTGGGATGACCTGGGATCATGAAATATCCCACCAGGATCAGAGCAGACACTGCTCCCAGGCTCTACAGCACCAAAGTGCCCTCATTCCACCTGCACCTGCTTCCCTCAGAGGGATCCAGCCTTCCCAGGGCTGTCCTGAGTGCCCTCAGCACCTCCAGCAGCCCCAGGACCAGGGGTGACTCCTGAGCTGGTGCCCGTTGGGATCCCATCCATGCCTGCAGCCACAGAGCCATCAGAGAAGCCCACCAGGAAGGGATCATGTCACCCACCCAGCAGCAGCCACGAGCTATGGCTGGTCCCAGCCAGGAATTTGGGCTTAATCATTAAAATAAACCATCAGAACTACCGTGAAAAGTCCTGCCAAGGACCCACTCAGTGAGTGACCTGGTGTTCACGTGCATTTTCCCTGGAAAGGATGTTTTAGGAAGGTGGACAGGGGAAAACCCCCCATTCCTGGCAATATATTGCAATTCCACCTGAAGGAAAGGTCAGCCCCCACAGAGCAGGTCCCCTTCCCTGGGAAGTCCTTCCCAAACTACAGCTGCTCCTCAGCAGACGATTCTTGTAAGACCATGGATCCAACCTCACCTTCCCTCACCTCCTTTGGAAGGGAAACTCCAGCGTGGAGCAGACCCAGAGCAGCAAAGCAGCAGCTTTCCCACAAAATGGAAATTGGGATGGCCAGAGAAGAGCGTCCCCCTTCCCAAGGATGCCACAAAGCAAAGCACAGATGGGAGATCTTCTTTCCCAGGCTTTGCAGGAGAAATGGAGGCAAAGCAGGAAACCACGTCCAGGGTGGGTTGGTTCCAAACAGGGATTTAAGGGTGGGACACCAGAACTCATCGAAATTCAGAGGAGTTTTGTACCTCCAGCTTTTGGGGAATGGGAATGGGGCAGTCAGAGATGGACTTGGGCACCAGAGGTTTTGAGGGTCTCTGGTGCTGCCAGAGCAGATGAATGAATAACCTCAGCACGCCTGGACCCCACTCCCAGGGGTCTCAAAACCAGACCTATCCTCCCTAAACCAGACCTATCTTCCCTAAAGCCAGACCTACCATTCCTAAAACCAGACTTAGCCTCCCTGACCTATTATCCATAAACTACACCTAACATCCCTAAAACCAGACCTATTATGCATAAACTACACCTAACATCCCTAAAACCAGACCTATTATCCATAAACTACACCTAACATCCCTAAAACCAGACCCATCCTCTCTAAAACACCCAAGCACCAGACCCTTGCATGCTGTGCCCACGTGGAGCAGCTCCAGCCACACCAAGCTTGGGATGCACTTCCCAACTCCTTTAGCCAATTCAGACTCTTTATGGTTTTAAACCCTCCTCTATTTAAAAAAAAAAAAAAAAAAAAAAAAAAAAAAAAAAAATCACTGCTGCTTCCTGAAAATTTGGGCTGGAAAGCAGCCAGGGGCTGATGCCGGCTCCGTGTGCCAAGTCCCTGTGCAGAGCTGTGCCTGGAGCAGTCCTTCCCAAGCCTGGCACCTCCAATTCCTTTCCTCACCTTTTAAGGATGAGGGAGGCAGCTGCTGGGGGCTGGAATTACCTGGGAGGGTTTGTTTTTGCTGCAAAGGCCTGAGTCCTCCTCACACAAACAAGCTCCTGAAGAAAGGAGGGAACAGACAGAGGAGGGAATAAGAAAAAAAAAAAAAAAAAAAAAAAAAAAAGAAAAAAAAAAAAAAAAAAAAAAAGCGCCAACAGGTTGATCTGGATTTCCATCAAGGGTTCCACCCTCCTCCGTTTAATGAACATCGCAGAACAGGTGCTTGGAATTCATTACCAGCCCACAAGCCCAGCAGACGGGAACCGCGCCGGCCCAGCCGCGCTGCTCCTCTCAGGGAGGCAGCCGCAGCCCTTCAGCCCTTCTCTCCCTGCGCCTTTCCCTCCCCCGGAGCCCAGCCCGGCCATGACCAACCCCAGCTCTGCCTTCTCCAGCGGCTCCCTGTGCTCCGGGGAGGCGGCGGCGGGGATGAGCCGCGGCAGGGCCGCCGGGAGCCCGTCCCCGGAGCGCCGCAGCCCCGACGGCGGGGCCAGCGACGGCCGCGGCTCGGCGGGCAGCGACGGCTGCGGCTCCCTGGGCGGCCTGCGCTGCTCGGCCTACTCGCCGTTCCCCCTGGAGGGGAGGCTGCCGCCCCCCGTGCGCCTGGACATCGACACCGAGTTCCAGGCCGTGCGGAAGCAGGAGAAGGAGGACATCAAAGTGCTCAACAACCAGTTCGTGACCCTGATCGAGAAGGTAGGGACAGCTCCTGGATGGGGCGGGGAGGGGCTCTGGGGACCCGCCGGGGTCTGCAGCAACCCCCGGCCAGGCTGGCACAGCCGGCTAATTAGTTATTAGCCCAATTATTTATTCCTTCCGAGCTCTCTGTCTGACGAGGGTTGGGGAGCATCCCTGGGGAGGCACACTGGGGGCTGTGCCTGTCACCCCGGGCAGCTCCTGGGGACCCCCGGAGCAGCCCCGGCAGAGTCCTGGGGGCACCGTGGGCAGGAGGCACCATGGACAGGAGGCCTGGGCTCCCAGAGTGGCCCAACAGCCACAGCAGTGACGCGGAGTATGGCGGCAGCTCCAATTCCGGCTGCTGAAGAGAGCTGGAAACTCATCCCTCAAAACTCATCCCTCAAAACTCATCCCCACCTCCACCTGGGCAGCGTGGGGGGCCGGGGGGACCCCCCAGCCACTGCCTCCGAGCTTCTGAGGAGAGAGGCCAAGAAAGTGCTGCTTTCATCTCTGCGGAGCCGGGAGAAGCAGAAGTTTCTCCAAGAAAACAACTCCCAGAGCAGGCAGGTTCCTGCAGAGCCCTGCTCCGTAAACAGATGTAATCTCCGGGATTGCTTCATGCAGCTCTCCCTGCCAACCTCCAGCAGCCCGGGATTGATTCATTTCAACTCTCCGAGGACCTGAATTCACACTGGGAAGGAGAAAGCTGTGGGAACATCTGCAGTGGAGCTGTCCAAGGGGGACAGTTGTGACCAGTCACACCTGGCAGTGTCAACAGGGCCCAGGCCTGGCTCTCATGGGTGGGCACAGCCTCCTCCTGTGAGCCTTTCCAAGACTGTGGCATTGGGAATTTGGAGAGCACCTGGTGTTGGAAACACCCACACAGTAGAGGCTGGAATTTGCACTGTCCAGGTGGAGAGGTTGGGGTTTGCTGGGCCCTCAGAGCAGGGATGGGAGTAAGGGGAAGAGACAAACCCCCACGTGCCTGAGCCAGGCCTGTTCCCTGACACCAGGGAGGGAAGAAGTGAGAGTTCCAGGTTTCCCAAAAACCCAACCCAGCGACCTCCTGATCCGTGTGGATCCTGGGACAGGGACACCCCCTGGGCCAGGGGTTCAGGGACACAAACACCACTTGGGCCCAGGTCTCCGACTGCAGCTCCTGAGCTCCTTTGAAGGCTTCAAGAGCTGCATCAAGTGGCAACTTCAGGCACCTGCCCCAGGCCCTCATTCCAGAGGAAGGGAATGACACTTCCTTGTCAAAGAGAACCTAGCTTTGTAATCAGGGATTCAGCTGTTCTCGATCCCCAGCAGGTGATTCCAGGGATAATTGACCACACAGCTACAGGAGTTTGGTGCTGGAGGTTTTCCAGCTGTTACAGATCTGCTGGTATTTATTTTCCAGACAGATGTAAAAGAAGACAGGGAAAAGCCAAGCCCTTGAGCCCCTGTTTGAGGCCCTGCCTTTATCCCAAGCAGCACAGAGGGAAGGGTCTGTGAGGACCAAACTTTGGCCACTTGTGTGTTCAGGCATGAAATTCCAGGGAATGAGGCCAAATGTGGGTGATCCCTCTGCAAAGCTCCTGCTGAAAGGCTCTGCAAGGGGGGATTTCCACCGAGGGGGACATTGCAGGAGTTGCAGAATCATGGAATGGTTTGGGTCAGGAAGGACCTTTAGGGTCATCCAGTTCCAAGTAGATGTTGGAAGCCAAGATGCAACCAGCTGAGCCCAGGGATGGTTTGCTAACAGGAACTGAGGGATAAAAGGAGCAGCTGAGGATTAGGAAGGAAGTCAGGAATTAATTAAAGGTCAAAGATTGACATGGAACAACAGCCAACACAATCCATTCTCATCCCAGGAGGGAAGGATGAGGTCTCTAAGAGTGAGACCTGGAACATCCCAACACTCCCATCCCTTCTGCTGGGAACTCCCAAGCACTGGAATGGTTCTGCTTTGCTTGGCTGCTCTCTCTGTTCAGACAAGAAGGATTTGGAGAAAGATGGTGCCACATCTGGGTCAGCAGCTGGAATTCTGCCTCTTCTGTGGACGCCAGGCCAAGGCTGGAGGTCTGATGGCTCCTGCCCCCAGTGCTCCCAGTGCTCCGGGCATGGCATCGGCCCTGAGTCATCCCGGAATGCAACGCGGGAAACTTTCAGGCAACTCCGACATCTCCAGCCAAAACGTGACTGGGGCTGCTCCCAGAGGTAGCAATTAGCCAATTAATTGGAGTTGGCCAAGAGCTTTGAAGATGAGAACTGTTAAACTTGGAGTGTTACTGGTGAGATTGGGAATATTGGGAAAGAGGAGCAGGTTCCTCAAAGGCGGGTGGTGGAAGGGCAGCGTTGTCCTCTCAGAGCCAGCACAGGGAGCTCATCTGGAGTCTGTAATTACCTGGGATGTTCTCCAGAGCTTTGTCTGAGCCGCTCTGCAATGAACCTGATTCATTCCCTTAATCTCTCCATGCTCTAATCCCTTGCAATCCACAGGGTTCCCTCTCTTTGTGCTCTCTGGGGTAGGGAATCTGCCCTTCCCTGACCCTGGACATCCCTGCGTGACCTGGGGTGGATCCACAGCCTTGGCGTCACTGTGTTGGACTCAACACCTGGATCTGGTGATGCTGGAGGTGTTTCCAGTAGTCCATTGTCACACACAAAAGGGACAGAACTGACCATTCCTGTTGTCAGTGACTCCTTTATCCCAATGTCACTGTGTTTAGCCCAATGTGACCATGTTTATTTTGATGTCATCATGTTTATTTTGATGTCACTATGTTTATTCCAATGTCACTATGTTTATTCCAGTGTCACTGTCTTTATTTTGATGTCACTGTGTTCTATTGAGAATTAATTAGTGGGTAATGTGTAAAACCCTTAGAAGTCCCCTAAAAGAGGGAGGTGTCCCTGCCCATGCCAAGGGATGGACCTGGGTGATCTTTAAGGTCTCTTCCAACCCAAACCATTCCATGATTCCATAACCCTCCATCCTCAGGCCTAATTTTGAAGGGATTTCTCATTCTTCCCTGGAAATCTGCTGGTTCTGAAGGTCTCCAGCATCTCCTGCCCTGCCATGCTCTGACTGTGGCCCTCAGTGTCACTGACTCCTCTGAAACCTCTCCCGTAGGTCCAGAGCTTGGAGCAGCAGAACAAGATCCTGACGACCAGGTGGAACTTCCTGAAGGACCAGGACAATTCCCACTCTGACTCGGACATCAAGGCCATCTATGAGCAGTACGTGAGCAAAATGAACCAGGAGATGAAGGCGCTCAACTACGAGCAGGAGAACCTGGAGTCGGAGCTGGCGAAGGTCCTGAGCACCATGGACGCCTTCCGGAGCAAGTAGGTGTCCCTGTCCATGTCTTTCCATAGCCAGGGGATCAGCTGGGGCACAGGGGACAGCGTGGGATTGATTTAACTCAGCCAGCCTGAGATGCCCAGGAAAGCATTCCTAGTTTGGTGTGCACAGAAGTATGGATTTGGGAGTTTAGGATCACGACGTCTTCCTGGTTAATGAGAGGTGAAAGGGAAGCTGGAACAATGAAATTTCAATGAGAGCAGGGCTGAGAGGAGCCTCTTGGCATTGCTGGAGTGACAGCCATGAAAGCAGGGAATGTTTGTTCTCCACAAAATTAGCACAAGCCAGAACTTTGTCCCCAAAGTGATTTCTGGACCAGGTTGTTCTGTACAAAAAACAACGCTCCTGGCTACATGTTGGGAATTTTGGGGTGTTCTGGGCAGGGACAGGAGGTGGATTTGATGATCCCTGTGGGTGTCTTCCAACTCAGGATATTCATCATCACACAATGGGTTAGGAGGGACCTTTAGAATCATCCAGTGGCACCCTTGCCATGGGCAGGGACACCTTCCACTCAAAGCCCTGTCCATCCTTGGACATTCCAGGGATCCAGGGGCAGCCACAGGGAAATGCATTCCAGAGCCTCTCCACCCTCACAGGGAGGAATTCCTTCCCAATATCCCACCTATGCTTGCCCTCTGTCAGTAGGAAGCCATTTCCTCCTGTATGCATTCCAGAGCCTCTCCACCCTCACAGGGAGGAATTCCTTCCCAATATCCCACCTATCCCTGCCCTCTGGGAAGCCATTTCCTCCTGCCCTCTGCCTCCATCCCTTGTCCCAAGTTCCTCTCCAGCTCCCCTGGTGTTCCTTGAGACACTGGAAGGGGATCTAAGTTCTTCCTGGAGCTTTTTCTTCTCCAGGCTCACACACACCCATCCCACCCCTGCCATGGCAGGGACACCTCCCACTATCCCAGTCTGCTCCAAGTTCCATCCAGCCTGGCCTGGAACACTTCCAGGGATGGGGCAGCCACGGGGAAATCCATTCCAAGCCCTCCCCACCCTCACAGGGAGGAATTCCTTCGTAAAGAAGGAATGTTCTATTTCGTGACTGTGGGATCTCTTCCTTTCCCGCTTCACCCGAAGCATTTCTGCCGAACTCTGCTTTGACCAAAAGGTCAAAATTGTGCCCCAAATGGTCCTGACCAAGAATAGGGAGGCAGCCAAAGGTCGGGGAGGTGCAGCTGCCTCTTATCTCTGGGGAGCTCCTCTTATCTCTGGAGAGCTCCAGATGTGCAGATAAGAGAGAGCAGCTGGGCCATGCCCGGTCACAGGGGAGCAGACAATACCTTCCTCATTATGGGGTTCATTTGCATCCCACAGGAGAATCCCAAATGAGCTCCTTTCCCTCCCACTGACACCCAGCACCTTCCTGGAGCTCTGGAGGCTCCTGTGGGGATTCGGGCTGTGCAGAGACTGTCCAACCCAAAGTGGTGCCAAGGGACTCGGGGGAGCAGAAATCCCTGCTGGGATCCAAACCCACTCCTGAGGTGAGGCACAAACCATCTGTGCCCTCTCCAGGGAGTTCAGTCCAAGGATTCCCCAGCTCCTTAAGCTCTGCTCAAGATGGCTGCAAATTAGGGAAGGGCTGATAGCTCCTTCTAACGGAGACCCAGCAGTGAAATGCCTTAATCAGCTCAGAGCAGGTTGGAATAATGGAATCATTCAGCTTGGAAAAGCCCTTGGAGATCATCAGGTCCATCCATCAGCCCCCTACCGTTGTGGTCACTACTGACCCCAAGTCCCCAGGTGTCACATCCACACACTTTTGGACACTCCCAGGGGTGGGGACTCCCTGGGCAGCCTGTGCCAGGGCTGGATAACCCTTTCCGTGGAAATTTTTCCAAATATCCAACTTAAACCTCCTCCGATGGAACTTTTCCCTTGTTCCCTGGGAGTGGATCCTGAATCCCACATGAATGCCCCCTCCTATCAGGGAGTTGTGCAGAGCCAAGGTCCTCTTCTCCAGGCTGAGCCCCCCCAGGTCCCTCAGGAGCTCTCCAGACCCTTCCCTGGTGCTCCAGTCCTTCCCCAGCTCCATTCCCACCTCTGGACTTGCTCCAGCCCCTCGGGGTCTTTCTTGTGAGGTACCCAAAGCCCAGGATTCCAGGGCTCTCAGCAGTGTTAAGGACAGGGAATGTTGTGAGGAATTTGAGAGGAATAAGGACCAGGAGTTTGATTCTTCACCTTACACTGAAATCGTCCTCCCAGAGTCCTTCAAATGACACCCTAAATTGCTTTAAAAGTCCTAAATTCCTTACAGGACGTGCCTGCCTGCTGTTTATTTGGATAATGCAAAGGTTAGGAGCTGCCATCCCTGCACTCCCCTGAGGAAGCAGAATCCCAGACTGGTTTGGGTGGGAAGGGACCCTGGCACAGACAGGGACATGTTCCACTCTCCCAGGGTGTCCCCAGCCCTTGGACACTTCAGGGATGGGGCACCCACAGTCTGTGCTCAGATCTGCATTGAGGAATTGCAGATTTCCCAGCTCCTGACACTGCAGAGTTTTTCAGCCTGATTTTTTAGGGATGAAGGTGCTGCCCAAGGGTTCTCCCCATTGGATTTCTTGTGACTTTTCCAGTGACTTGGACAATGGGATAGGACACAACTGGGATGCTTCATCCCTCAAAACTGATTCATAGGGAGAGAATTCCCAGGCCCCATCCAGCCCCAGCCCAGCCCAGGGGCATTTCTGGAGCAAATCTCCAAGCAAACCAGGCAAATCCAGGAGGTTTCTTTTCCCCAGGGAATTCTGGGGGAGGAAAAACAAAGAACCAGTTGGATTTCCCACTGGAGTGATGCCCTCAGCCAGGCTGTGCCATTCTGGATGGAACATGCCATGGGCATGGGAACACCCCATGTCCAAGTCTTCCAGGATGGGAAATGTGCCTGGGGGAGTTCCCCCATAAGGCCCTGGATTGATCCTGAGTCAGGCACTGCTTCCCAAACCCACCTGGATGGGACTCACTGGGACACTCCCACCTTCTCCTCAAAGGATTGTGCCATGGACCGGCAATTCCAAAGGGATGGATGAATGGTGGATTGATGATGGATGGATGGATGGATGGATGGATGGAGAGGGGACAGGCACATCCAGGAGGGAACACAGGCACATGCAGGAGGGAACTAAGCCTGCCTGAGAGCTGGTTCCCTGGATTTTGCTCCATGGAAGGAGCCTGGGGCGAGCAGACGCCGTCTCAAGTGTGCTAAGTGCAGGAAGAGCTGGATTTGCCCTCCTGCAGTGCCCCAGGATTCTCTCCCAGGAGATAAACGCTGGGATGTGCCTGTGGAATGCTCCAGCCCCAGCCCGGGGTGAGTCACGGTCCTGGGAGCGTGGCAGGAGCGCGTTGGGCCAGCTGGGCCAGCTCTGCTCTGCCGGGAGCACAGCTCTGCCAGAGCCCGGGAATCCCGCACACTGGGACAGACTGGGACAGACTGGGATACACTGGGATAGACTGGGGCACATTGGGACAGACTGGGGTACACTGGGACAGACTGGGGCACATTGGGACAGACTGGGGCACACTGGACACACTGGGACGGACTGGGGCACACTGGGACGAACTGGGACAGACTGGGGCACACTGGGACAGACTGGGACAGACTGGGATGCACTGGAACAGACTGGGGCACATTGGGACAGACTGGGGCACACTAGGACAGACTGGGATACACTGGGACAGACTGGGGCACATTGGGACAGACTGGGGCACACTGGACACACTGGGACAGACTGAGGCACACTGGGGCACACTGGGACAGACTGGGGCACACTGGGACAGACTGGGACACACTGGGATAGACTGGGACACACTGGGACACACTGGGGCAGTGGACCTGGGCTGAGTGGGAGGAGGAGGAGGAAGGGGGGCTGCAGACAGGCACTAAGCTTGGCCCAGCCCAGTGGGGCTGACAGCATTCCAGCCAGGCTGACATTCCAGGTGAGGAGCACAGACCAGACAGGTAAATCCCATCAGCCCCTGCTGCCCGGCCTCGGAAAAGCAGGGAAGGAGAGGGCGAGTTCAGCACCGAGGGGGACTCGGGAGGAGCCCCAGGAGTGCCCAAAGCTGTGACTGTCACACACCCCTGCCCTCGTGGTCCCCTCGGTGAGGGAGCTGCAGCTCCAGGGAGCTGCTTTGGATAATGCCAGCTCAGCTCCGGGACACACTGGGACACACTGGGGCAGTGGACCTGGGCTGAGGAGGAGGAGGAGGAGGAAGAGGGGCTGCAGACAGGCACTAAGCTTGGTCCAGCCCAGTGGGGCTGACAGCATTCCAGCCAGGCTGACATTCCAGGTGAGGAGCACAGACCAGACAGGTAAATCCCATCAGCCCCTGCTGCCCGGCCTCGGAAAAGCAGGGAAGGAGAGGGCGAGTTCAGCACCGAGGGGGACTCAGGAGGAGCCCCAGGAGTGCCCAAAGCTGTGACTGTCACACACCCCTGCCCTCGTGGTCCCCTCGGTGAGGGAGCTGCAGCTCCAGGGAGCTGCTTTGGATAATGCCAGCTCAGCTCCTGAGCATGGCTTCCCCCTTTCTCAACATATGCCCCCCTTCCCTAGGCACAGCTCCCCATTTCCACGCTTTGTACACGGCGGGGAAGGCTCCCAAAAACCTTCTGGGCACCTGAGAACCCTCTGATGCACCGGACCCCAAACAGCAGCACACGGCTGCATTCCTGAGTTCCTGTTCTCAGTCTGTTGGGAGATCCCATTCTACCTCGTTCCCAAAGGTCTCAGCTTCCCTTAGGTCCATTTGGTGACATATCCAAGCAGCTCTGGAAGTCTGAGTTCACAGCCTGGAAATGGGGGCACTTTGGGGCCCCTTCCACCAAGAAAGACCCTGAGGGGCTGGAGCATGTCCAGGGCTGGGAATGGAGCTGGGGAGGGGTCTGGAGAACTCCTGAGGGACCTGGGGGGCTCAGCCTCGAGAGAAGGAGGCTCAGGGGGACCCTGTGGCTCTGCACAACTCCCTGACAGAAGGGGGCTGCCAGGGGGTTGGGCTCTGCTCCCAGGGAACAACAGGACAAGGGAAGTGTCCTCAGACTGTGCCGGGGAGGTTCAGCTGAATACTGGGAAAAATTCCTCACTGGAAGGGCGTCCAGGCACGGGCACAGCTGCTCAGGGCAGGGGTGGAGCCACCAAAGCTGTGTGGCTGTGGCACTTGGGGACATGGTCAGGGGTGGCCTTGGCAGTGCTGGGGGAGCAGTTGGACTCGATGCTTTTCCACCCTTAATGATTCCCTGATTCCATGGAATGTCATGTGCCCCTTAGGCTAAGAGGAGCCTGAGGGATCAGGGAAGAGCAGGGGAGCCAGGAGCTCCCTGAGAGCTCAGCCTGCTCTGATCCACCCCTCCCAGTGCTCCCACCCGTGTCCAGCTGCTGGGAAGACACCAACCCATCCCATCCTTCTGCTCTGACCAAGCACTGCTGGCCCCAAAATGGACCCTGTGGCTTTCCTGGGATTTGGGATCACCACACCCCTGTCCCAGGAGCCAGCAAGGGCTGGAGCATTCCCCAATTCCTGCTCATATCCATGCCCCTGGACTGAGGCTTTGCTCCCTGGCCTTGCCCTGTCCCACCTGGATTTAAACACCTGCAGGGCTCATTCTTCACAGGGACACTCGGGACTCCACCCCATCCTGGTTTGGTTTCCTTCCACTCCATGGGCAGTTTTCCATGAATTCCTTTGCCTGTGTGCCTTCACAAATCACCTGGCTGAGTTATGACACCAGTTCAGAATTCTCAGAATTTCCACAAGCCAAAGTTTTCTCATTTGGGAAGACTCCGACCCTGGAAGTGAAGCTCTGAGGAAACGTGAGCAGAACAAATCACCTGGCTGAGTTATGACACCAGTTCAGAATTCTCAGAATTTCCACAAGCCAAAGTTTTCTCTTTGGGAAGACTCCGACCCCGGAAGTGAAACTCTGAGGAAATGTGAGCAGAATGGAAAAGGTTTGGGATGAAATTGAGGAGTTTGGGCAGACCCCAATCCCCACCCCCATCCACTGCTCCTTTGTGAAGAACCTGAGGCTACCCAGCCCCCACATGAAATCCCAATTAAAGCTCCCTCCTCTCTGCTCTGGGATTCTTCATCCCAAAACTGCTCCTGGTATTCCAGGGCAGCTGGAATGTGGCAGCTTCTTCTCACTCCTGCCCACGATGCCTCAGGGAGGGGGGACAAGCAGGAAAAGCAGAAAGTTGGGATACTTTGGGCATCTCAACAAGAAGTGTCCCTGAGTTTCCCTGTGGTTGATCCTGTGCTTTGGGTGCTCTGCAGGTACGAGGATGAAATTCGCCTCTGCAGCGGGATGGAATTCACCTTCATGGAGCTCAAAAAGGTCAGCAGGAGGGGAAGTTTCCCACTGGATGGGCTCTACCCAGCCCTGCACAGGCAGGGAAGGGCCTGGAGGTAATCCAGGCTCAGCTGGTTTGGGATAACAAGGTCTGGAGGAGGACAGGGAGGGGATGAGTCCCAATTCCACAGGAGGGTGAGTCTGGAGTGGCTCCTGAAAATCCCCTGGCAGCACCTGGGGATCAGAGCATCCCCATCTCTGCATCCTGGGATTTCATGGTCAGACCATCCCCATCTCTGCATCCTGGGATTTCATGGTCAGACCATCCCCATCTCTGCATCCTGGGATTTCATGGTCAGACCATCCCCATCTCTGCATCCTGGGATTTCATGGTCAGACCATCCCCATCTCTGCATCCTGGGATTTCATGGTCAGACCATCCCCATCTCTGCATCCTGGGATTTCATGGTCAGACCATCCCCATCTCTGCATCCTGGGATTTCATGGTCAGACCATCCCCATCTCTGCATCCTGGGATTTCATGGTCAGACCATCCCCATCTCTGCATCCTGGGATTTCATGGTCAGACCATCCCCATCTCTGCATCCTGGGATTTCATGGTCAGACCATCCCCATCTCTGCATCCTGGGATTTCATGGTCAGACCATCCCCATCTCTGCATCCTGGGATTTCATGGTCAGACCATCCCCATCTCTGCATCCTGGGATTTCATGGTCAGACCATCCCCATCTCTGCATCCTGGGATTTCATGGTCAGACCATCCCCATCTCTGCATCCTGGGATTTCATGGTCAGACCATCCCCATCTCTGCATCCTGGGATTTCATGGTCAGACCATCCCCATCTCTGCATCCTGGGATTTCATGGTCAGACCATCCCCATCTCTGCATCCTGGGATTTCATGGTCAGACCATCCCCATCTCTGCATCCTGGGATTTCATGGTCAGACCATCCCCATCTCTGCATCCTGGGATTTCATGGTCAGACCATCCCCATCTCTGCATCCTGGGATTTCATGGTCAGACCATCCCCATCTCTGCATCCTGGGATTTCATGGTCAGACCATCCCCATCTCTGCATCCTGGGATTTCATGGTCAGACCATCCCCATCTCTGCATCCTGGGATTTCATGGTCAGAGCATCCCCATCCCTGCACCCTGGGATTTCCCTGGCCTGAGGGGTCCAAACCCTTCCCCAGCTGCCTCCTCCTCCCTGTGTTCCCTCCGGGTGCCATTAGGCTTGGGAAAGGCTGGAATTGATAAAGGATTTCCTTTGTTCCCTGCGGAGGGGCCACGCCCTGGGCAAACCCAGGCAAAGCTCCCACTCCAGCAGGAGCCAGTGGGAATCAGCTGGAGGTGGGATTTTATATCAAAACCCACAATTTGGGGGCAGGATAAGGGTGTTGGAGAGAGGAAATGTTCCCCACAAATATCCATCCGGGCTAATTCCATGTTTTCCCTGGCACACTCCCCAGGAAAGGCATTCCTGAACACTTCCATGGATGGCTCCTGAGTTTTCAACAAGTGAAGCCTTTTGTGGGGTACAAAAGTTGGGAGGGGATGGCCCAGCCCTGCCTGGCCCAGCAGATCCTTCCTCCAACAAGTCCCACAAAACAAAGGGAAAAGGTTCTCAAAGGAGCCTCCCCAGCTGGAGAGCAGCTCCAAACATCCCTGTTAATAAAGCTGGGAATGTGTTGGGTGGGAAGGAGCTCATCCCATGGGCAGAGACTCCTTCTCCTTCCCTGTCCAGGGTGCTCCAAGCCCTGTCCAACGTGTCCTGGAGCACTGCCAGGGACAGAGCAAGCAGGGCCCTCCCTGGGGATGGGGAGCAGTGGGAGTGAGTGGCTGTGAATCCAGGTATGGACTGATGAATCCCTTTCCATCCATGCAGGATTTGGATGTGAGCACCTTGCACCGCACAGAGCTGGAGGTGAAGCTCAAAGGGCTCCAGGAGCTGCTGGAGCTGAAGAAAACCATCTACGAGCAGGTGGGAACACACCTGGAGAGGGCTGGGATGCTGTGGGAAACTTGGCATTTTGGGGACAGATCCTGGATTTCCACCCACGTGGGAGCTTGGCCAGGGTGTCACAGCCATTCCAGTGCTCAGGCAGGACCTGAGGAGTTGATCCCTCCCCTAAAAACAACATTGGAATGGAGACAGAACATTCCTTATGCCCCAGAGCCTCTGGTGGGGGCTTGGGGTCCCCCCAGAACAGCCGAGAATTCCAGCCTCATCCCAAACTGGCTGCTGGGGCTCAGCTCCTGCCCCCAGGGATGGGGTTTGCCCCAGACCTTGGCCCAGGTGAGCCAAATGTTCAGACTCCAGGAAGAACCCAAAATCCAGGACACCTGGAGAACCTGGATGCTCTGAAACACAGTCCAGCCTCCTCCTTTGCCAGGAAAATGAGGGGTCCCCAGCAGGAATGGCTGCAGCCAGGGGGAAGGGCCTCCATCAGAACACTGACTCAGGCCTGGAAAATGTCACCCAGCAGGATCAGCAGTGTGGGAACACTCAGGATTTATCTAAATTCCAGCAATCCAAACAGTTACAATGCCTGGTGGAGGAATATGAACATTCCATGTGGGAAACTGAGGCAGGGAGAGGCTGGAGCTGCCTCCCAGCCCAACTCCCTGATTGGCTCTGAAATGAGATTATTCCTCATGCAGGGCAATTTTTGCCCATTTTTTATGGAAATCAGGCCCTGCTCCAGGGTCTCCACCTGATTTCACATGGGTCCCACAAAAAGCTGTGGTTTTTAACCCCCAATTAATGTAAAAATCTCATCCCCAACCTCTCCTGTCTCACCTTCTCTGTGGATTCGATGACATCAAGTACAGGCACGTTCTCAAGGGGAGGGAAAATGAGGTAAACTTTGCTTGTTGGGATGGATCAGGAGAAAATAATTTATTAATTCTCATTAATAAATGACTAGTTTGCTATTCACCAAGTGATCCAATATTCCAAATAAACACAAATTTTCTCACCTGCTCCAAGATTAACAAAGAATTAAAGGATTAAACAGCCGTGGGATAAAATCTCCCAATCATCCTGCTTTTTGGGATATGTCTGTGTTATCCCTCAGGCACAGAGCCCTTTGTGAGCCCAGCCAGGGAAGGGAAGGGATCAAGGAACACAATTGCTGCTCCAAAGGGACCTGAGCACAAAGGGAAGAACAAAGGAAGGGGAGGAGGAGAAGGAATTCCTGGTGCAAAGCAGGAGCTGTGCCTGAGATAAGGGAGCAGCAGCTCTGGAGCAAACTGGATCCAAACCTGGATCCAGGGGCCCTTCCAGGTTCAGGGAGGGGAATTGGCAGCTGTGACTTATCCAATGCAGATATCCTGGTGGTGGTCCCGGGGTGCTCCTGCCTCCCTCCACACTGGCATTCCCAGGACAGAGGAGTGGAGCAGCTCTGCCAGCCTACAGGAGAGGCTCCTGGTTCCTTGAGGAGCCTAAATCAGGCTCTGGCATCACAAAGAGCAGCCCCAGCCTCACTGGATCCCACAGCAGAGCTTGGAAAGGACATTTTCCAGCCTCCCCAGGCTGCGGAGCGATCCACGCTGCCTTTGTTTTCCCAAAACTTTCCCATTCAGCATGGATATCAGTGGATATTGGTCCGTGACCATCAGCTCCAGCTGTGCTCCTGGGAATGACTGACTGGACAAGAGGAAATGGCAGCGATGGTTTAGGTTGGATATTAGGGAAAATTCCTTCCTGGAAAGGGTTGTCCAGCCCTGGCATAGCTGCCCAGGGCAGGGGTGAAGTGCCCATCCCTGGAAGTGCCCAAGGAATGTGTGGATGTGGCACTTGGGGACATAGTCTGGGGTGGCCATGGCAGTGCTGAGGAACAGTTGCAATCTGGTGATCCTACAGGTCTTTTCCAGCCTTAAGGATCCCAGGATCCTCCCTGCTCCTGCACTAGTCCAAAGGCATGTTGTGTCAGATTTTACCAGTTTGTATCCAAAGATCCCAAACCCCAACTTAACCTGAGTCTGGATTTTATGGAGCAAATAATACCAGATCCCCAACTCCAGAGAGTGAAAACTTGGGAATTGTCCCCCTCTCCACATGGAAGCTGTTCTGCCAAGCACAACCCACCTGGAGCTCTCTCTGACTACTGGAGAGTAGTCAGAATCTTGGAATGGGAATCTTGGATATGACCAGATGCTGGGAAGAAGTTCTTCCCTGTGAGGGCGAGGAGGCCCTGGATTGGATTTCCCAGGGAAGCTGTGGACAGGGCTCGGAGCAGCCTGGGACAGTGGGAGGTGTCCCTGCCATGGCAGGGGTGGGATGGGATGAGCTTTGAGGCTCCTTCCCACCCAAACCATTCCATGAATTTCCAGCTCCGTGTTCTCTTCCCTGTCGTCCCCTGGCTCTGCAGGAACTGGAGGAGCTGCTGACAGAAATCAAGGACATTTCCGTGGTGCTGGGAATCGACAGCTGCTCCCGGCCGGACCTGGGCAGGATCGTGGAGGACGTCAGGGCCCAGTACGAGGCTCTGGCCCTGCGGAGCTGGGAAGAGGCCGAGGCCCTCACCCGGAGGAAGGTACCAGATCTCCGTGCCGGGAGAGGCAGGGAAAGGACAGGAAGGATTGGCCTGGAAACAGCTGGATCAGCAGGGATGGGCTGGGAAGGGAGGGAGGGACAAGGCACTATCTGTGATCAGCTCCAGACAGTAAATCCAGAGTTTTGTTACTCTGGGCTTTCAACACTGGAGGAACCCAGGACATCTCCCAGTGGAGATGGAAAAGTCCTTCCAGCTCTCCAAAGAGCAGGAATGTGGCTGATCCCAGGAGCCAGCTGAGCCTGGCACAGCCACAGCCAGAGAGGACAGGAACGAGCCCCACATCCTTCCCCAGGTAATCCAGGTGATGCCAGGGCACCCCTCCCTCTCTCCACAGCTCACCGACAGCAGCTCCCAGCCCGGCTCCTTCGGGGGGCACCTCCTCGACAGCCGGCGGGAAATCGCGGATCTGAACATCCGCATCCAGAAACTGCGGTCCTGCATCGTGTCCCAGAAGAGCCAGGTGTGTCCTGGGTGGGACAACGGGACAGGGCTGTGCTGGGTGGGATAACGGGGCAGGGCTGGGTGGGATAACAGGACAGGGCTGTGCTGGGATAAGGGGACAGGTGTGTGCTGGGTGGGACAACGGGACAGGGCTGTGCTGGGTGGGATAACGGGACAGGGCTGTGCTGCATGGGATAACGGGACAGGGCTGTGCTGCGTGGGATAACGGGACAGGGCTGTGCTGCATGGGATAACGGGACAGGTGTGTGCTGGGTGGGATAATAGGACAGGTGTGTGCTGGGTGGGATAACGGGACAGGGCTGTGCTGGGATAACGGGACAGGGCTGTGCTGGGTGGGATAATGGGACAGGGCTGTGCTGGGATAACGGGACAGGGCTGTGCTGGGTGGGATAATGGGACAGGGCTGTGCTGGGATAATGGGACAGGTGTGTGCTCAGTGGGATAACGGGACAGGGCTGGGTGGGATAACGGGACAGGTGTGTCCTGGGTGGGATAACAGGACAGGTGTGTGCTGGGATAACGGGACAGATGTGTGCTGGGTGGGATAACGGGACAGGGCTGTGCTGGGTGGGATAACGGGACAGGTGTGTCCTGGGTGGGATAATGGGGCAGGGCTGTGCTGGGATAACGGGACAGGGCTGTGCTGGGTGGGATAACAACAACAGGTGTGTGCTGGGGTGGGATAACAGGACAGGTGTGGAATTCCCTCTCCCAAGCCCATTCAGCTCCCTTTCCCACACTTCAGTGCCTGTACCTGGAGGAGCACATCCGTGAGGCTGGCGAGCAGGGGGAGGGGACCCTCAGGGACGCCAAGGCCAAGGTGGCCGGGCTGGAGGCGGCCCTGCAGCGCAGCCGGGAGCACATGGCTCACCTGGTCCGGGAGTACCAGGAGCTCATGAACATCAAACTGGCCCTGGATGTGGAGATCCTCACCTACAGGAAGCTCGTGGAAGGGGAGGAGAACAGGTGAGCCAGGATTCCTCTGCCTCAGGTGGGGAAAGGATGCACCAGGATACCTGGGGGGATGAAGACATCATGGAATCATAGAATGCTTTGGAACCCAGTCCCACCCCCTGCCATGGGCAGGGACACTTCCACGGGCAGGAACTCCTCCCAAAGCCCAGGTTACCCAAATCCCAAGTTCTGAGTTGGGTACTGAAGGTTTGGTCAAAGAAGGACCAAATCCTGGTGGTTCCCAGCAGTTCAATCCCATTTCTTGCTCCCAAGTCTTCCTCAGACTCCCCAGGCTGAGGTTCCAGACCTTCTCCAGGTGCTGTTGAAGCCCATCCTGGCCCTATCACTATCCCAACTCCCCCAGGCCAACTCCCAGCCCTTTTCACCCCTCTGGGAGAGCTCAAGCCATATCTCACACTGTGTCCTTCCCTTCCCAGCATGGAGCAGCCCATTCCCACCGTCATCAGCGCTGTCCACTCCCGGCCCAAGCCTCGTAAGTGCTTTGATCCCTGTGATCCAGGGGATGGGGGAATGGATGGAAGGGTTTTAACCTTCCCCCCTCTCCCAGTTTCTGCCAGCACCCTGCGGAACTCATGGCTCTTTGCCCGGGGCTCGGGGGACACGGAGCCAAGCGGAGGCGGCCCCGGGAGCCCGGGGAGAGCCCAGGACCTGCCGGGGACTCCAGGCACCGGGACCCGGCCCAAGTTCAGCTCCAGGGCCCTCGGGGCGTGTTCCTAGGAGAACGGGATGAACATGGATCCAAAGCACCTGGGAAGCTCTTCCTCCTGAACTCCAGCCCACATCCAAGGGGTGAAGGATGAGCGTCCTGTCCAGGCTGTCCCTTGGCTTTCCACCATCCCAGTTCACAGCTCCATTCCCAGTTGCAGCAGGAACCACCCCAGGACTTTAGGGACTCTCCCATTCCCTTCTCCTTCCTCTCTACAGCTCCCTTCCCAGAGGATTTGCAGTCACCCCTTGGAATGTGCCCAGCAGGAGGGAAGTGTCCCTACCCCACTTTTAGCAGCTGCCATCGGTCCTTTTACTGGTGTTGACAAACCCTTTCCCTGCTCTGAGGGTGGTCTCTGGCAGGGCTTCCAAGGAAAGCACCATCCAAATTCCACACTGGGGCAGAGAGAGGAAAACAACCCCAGGGATGGATTTGTCACCTGGATTGACAGATCTGGTGACACCCTGGGGTACCCTTGGCCACCTCAGGGCATTTCCCTGCCTTTGGGGGGCCCCTCATTCCTTCATCAAAGCTAAAATGCCTCAAAACTCTTGATTTCCATAATCCCTCCCTCTCTCCAGGCTCCACACAGCAGTTCCAGCTCCTAAAGTCAGGGTATTGGTTCCTATTTAACTGCCCTGGGAACAGCCTGGTTGGGGTTGGGAGGGACCTCAAAGCTCATCCCCTCCCACCCCTGCCATGGCAGGGACACCTCCCACTGTCCCAGGTTCTCCAAGCACCATCCAGCCTGCCCTTGGGCACTTCCAGGGATGCAGAGGCAGCCACAGCTGCTCTGGGAAATCCATTCCAGGGCCTCACTCCCCTCATAAGGAAGAATTTCCTTCCTAAAATCGAATCCAAATCTTGCCTCTTTCAGCCTAAAGCTGGAAAATTCCCTTGCCTTTGTATTTATTGACCTCAGCTTGTACCTGGCCCAGCTGCCCCCACTGGTCCATCCCAATCCCGATGCCCCAGAGCTCCCAGAGCCAACCCTGGAAGTGCCACGTGGCCACAGGTGGGGGATGCTGTGGCCTCTTCCCAACCTCACCCAGAATCCTGCAGTATTTTCCTTCCTGGTCCCAGCCACTGCCACTCAGCCCCCCAAAATTCCCAAATTCTGGGTCCCCATTCCCACATTCCCGTAGGATAGGAAGCACAGCTCTGGCTCGTGGGGTTTGGCTGTTACAATAAAGTTCTGTCACTCAGAATCCATCCTGTCCTTGGTTTTCTCTCAGCTTCCCACCACAGCTGGAGCAGCAGCTCCTTCCCAGCAGGACTCACCTGGGGACTCTGGCTGGGTCCTGGCAGCCAGGTGAGGCTGGAATTGCTTCCCAGGGATTGGCCTGGGCACATCCCCGGGAGGAAGGGTGAATCCTTAAAACCAAAAATCACCAAGACTCTCTAACTATCAGAGTTAGAAAGTGGTAAATCATGGTTCAAGGGCACAGGGCCAGAGGGGCAGACACGGGGTGGGATCCTTGGGGACCAAATTTGGGAATGAGGGGAACACAGTCAGCACTGCTCAGCTTCCCCTTCCCATACTCTTCCTGTCTCTCTCCAAAGGGGAATTCCTGCACAGCTGAGCACCCATTTCCCTGCAGCCCCTCATTCCAGAGGTGTCCTTTTAGTGCTCCTTTATCCCCACAGGGACTTTCCTGGGAGATCCAAACCAGACCAGGTTCCCTGGGGTGCTGGAGGACCCAAATCTGGGAGCAGCTTTGCTGTTTGCTGCTCACCTGAGAGACACTCTGCCCTTCCAGGGTCAGCTTCCCCTTCCCAAACTCCTCCTGTCCCTCTCCAAAGGGGAATTCCTGCACACCTAAGCCATCCTAGGCACCCACATTTTCCTGCAGCCCTTCATTCCAGAGGTGCCCTTTTGGATCACAGATGCTCCCTGTTCCCCTAGGGGACTTTCCTGGGAGATCCAAAGCAGCCCAGGGCTCCCACGGTGCCAGAGGACCCAAATTTGGGAGCAGCTCTCCAGGTCCAGGGCAGGGGATGGGAGACAGAGGATGGGAAGGACATTCCAGACCAGAGGAAAAAGTTCCATCCAGTTTCCCAGCCTGGCAGGATGGGGAAGGGGGGTCTCTGAGCAGTTTGCAGTTGCTCCCCGTTGGGTAGGGTTAGTGCAGGGCTGCACCTGGAGCCAGGAACCTGCAGAACTCTTGGGAAAAGTCCTTGGAAAAAGCCCTTGGGAAAAGCCCTTCCAGCCCAAGGAACAAAGCAGGGTCTGTGCTCAGAACAGCCCCATTCCCAGGAGCAGGAACAGGGCTGGTGTTGCCCAGGATGAGGCTGGAATGGGAGCCTGGGACACCCCAGCTGGGGGAACTCAGGGAGGGCTGCGGCTCAGCTGAGATTTTCCTGCTGCTTTTCCTCCCTGACCTTGGATTTTGGGGATTTTTTTGCTGTTTCTGAGCCTTCACCACCCATGGGATTGGGAGAGATCCCTGAGGCCGCAGCAGGGGATTAAAGGATTGAGATTTGGGATTTTGGCCACATTCCTGGACTCATGTCCCTGTTCTGGGGCAGACCCAACCCAGCACTCCCCTGTGCCACTGCTCCCAGCCTCAGTTCCCGAGGGCACCAGGGAATGGCTCCATCCAGCAGAATTCCTGCCCTCCCTGAAGGGAGCTGAGCTCTGCCTGGGATGATCCATGGCTTTGGGAGGCCCATCCTGCCCCCTCCACCACCCCTCCCTCACTGGGACCCAGCCTCTTCCTCAGGGCAAATTCCCGTGGCTGTTCTCATCCCAGAGTAACAACCAGCCCCAATTCCAGCTGTAAATTCCCCCGGGAATTGCTGCAGGTTCCAGGCAGCACCATCAGCTCAGGACCCCCCAAAGAATCCCTATCCCAGCCCTTCATAAGAGGTCCTGGCTGCACCCCTATGTGTCCAGATCAGTGCTGTCAATCCAGAATAACACACACTGGATTTACCTTTATTTAGGGATAGAATGTGAAAAAAAGGAGGAAACAGAGAAGGATGCAGTGAAGAGCAGCCCCAGAAAGTGCCAGGATTGTCACAGCCCCAGTTTTGGCTCAAAATGCTACAAAATCCCACCTGGCTGCTTCCTAAAAATTCCTAAGGACTGAAAGGATCTTGAATTTGGGTGGGGGTGGTGGTGGGGGGTGGTGTAGAAATTGATAGAAAAGCTCAGGTTTTATGGAAAAAAGGGATGGTTGTGTGATGGTTAGAGGGTGCTTGGAGGGGTGGAAGCATTGCTCACCTTCTCAGATCCACGTAAAAAATGGATCAGGGCCTGAGGATTGCTGGAAAAACCAGGGTTAGGGAGGGTAATTAACTAATAAATGGGAAATAACGGGATAATTAACAGCATTCCCCCATTTATGGCTCAGTAATGGTGTTTTATGGCCAGTTCCAGTGATCCCCTTCAATCAGCCACCCCTGGGGTGCAGGGGCACATTCCCCAGGGGGATTTGGGACCTGCTGAGAGCATCTGTGTTATCAAGGGATATTTATCCCTCTTATCTGCCAGGCCCCTCAGGAATCCACGGCCCAGCCTCCTCCAGGCCGTATCAGCTCCAGCCGCTCCCAAGGATGATCCCATCCCTGCCTGGAGCCTCTCCAGGACTGGACACGTCAGATGTCCTGGAGGTCTCGGACATGAGACATCCCAGGGGCAAATCCCGGGCTGCTGGCAGCGGGGGCTGCGGGGATTTTGGGAGGAGCAGCAGGGACTCCGTCCCGGCCGCAGGGCCCGGAGGCGGGAGCGGCGCCCGGAGCGCATCCCGGGATCCGCGCACCTGGAGCGGCCAGGAACGAGCTCCGGGCTCCCCCTGCCGGGCAGGTGAGGCCGCTGCAGCGCCTCCCCAAAAATCCCAACAATTCCCGGCTTCATTCCACAGGTCCGGCTGCAGAGAAGGGAAACGGCTCCCAGGGAGCGAGGCACGGAGGGGACCCTAAAGGGGATCCTACAGGGAATCCTATATATGATCCTACATGGAATCCTACAGGGAATCCTGCAGGGAATCCTATATATGATCCTACAGGGAATCCTACAGGGGATCCTACAGGGAATCCTACAGGGAATCCTACAGGGAATCCTATATATGATCCTACATGGAATCCTACAGGAGATTCTACATGGGATCCTACAGGGAATACTATATGTGATCCTACAGGGAATCCTACAGGGGGTCTACATAGGATCCTCCAGGGGATGCTAAAAGGGTCCTAAAGGTGATCTACACAGGATCCTACAGGGGACCCTCAGGAGATCCTAAAGGGAATCCTACAGGGGATCTACAGGAGATTCTACATGGGATCCTACAGGGAATACTATATGTGATCCTACAGGGAATCCTACAGGGGGGCTACATAGGATCCTCCAGGGGATGCTAAAAGGGTCCTAAAGGTGATCTACACAGGATCCTACAGGGGACCCTCAGGAGATCCTAAAGGGAATCCTACAGGGGATCTACACAGGATATTATAAGGAATCCTACAGGGGACCCTACAGGGAATCCTACACAGGATTCCTACAGGGGATCCTAAAGGGAATCCTACAGGGGACCTACATGGGATCCTACAGGGGACCCACATGGGACCCACAGGAAACCCTAAAGGGAATCCTGCAGGGAATCCTACAGGTGATCCTGCAGCCCAGAGCAGCTGTGGCTGCCCCATCCCTGGCCAGGTTGGACGGCCTTGGAGCACCCTGGGATGGTGGGACCTGTCCCTGCCCACTGCTGTAAGGTGTCCCCACATGAACCATTCCATGGTTCTGTGATCCAAAAGGGTGTTTCTCATCCACCAATAGCTCCCATCCAGGTGGGAACGACTCCTGGGATCCAGCCTGGCTGTTCCACTGCTCCCAGACTCGCTGCCCCCACACACCTGGAATCACTCTGGGAAGATGAAACAGCTCCCAGGGTGAGGAACCCATCCCTCCATCTGATCCCACTTGGACCAGCGATGGATCTGTCACCTTCCCCTCCCTGGGCTCTGGTTGTGCTGCCAGTCCCTCTCTGAAATATCCCCAGATCCTTTC